CCTGAACCATAAACTTTTCCCTAATTTTAAATAAGGCTGGATCAAAGCCCATGTTCACCATTAGCTATTGTTGGACTGAACTTGACATCACAGCCCAACATAAATGAAAAGGAAAATTATTGAGGAAATTACACCCACACCTAAAAATAGATTTCCAATTTCACAAATCCAATAACAAATTCAACATTTCAAAAATCAAGTTTTAATTAATAATTTAAAAATATTTTTTTTATATCTATATACAATAAAAAAAAATTGACCCCAACCAAACCCTAATCATTCCAACAAATTCCTCCCCCACCCACACTCTCTCTCTCTCACCAGCCCTCGTCAACCCTTCTTCTCTACTCCCTCTCTCACCGCCTCAGCCACCGCCCGCTGACGTGGGGACTCCTTCCAGTCAACTTCCTTCTTTGTTTCACTCTCTCTCGTCTTCTTCCACTCCTTAGCCGCCTCTCTATCTTCTCCCCTCTCTGTCTCTTCTCTCTATCTCCACCCCGGCCCCCGCTGCTTACTCCGTCGTCTGTAATTTCATGCGGTTGGCATTAGGAGGTAAGGATTGTCGACGAGCCAGCCTTCCTTGCGGTTGAGGTGTGGAGGTGCAAACTGTCAACGGGTCTCAAATTTGTTTTTTTTTTTTTTGTGGTGCGGTGCGGTGGCGATGGAGTGTTGGGTGCGGTTGCAATCTAATCCGGTGGTTGGGTGAGTGCCAATGGTGTTGACTTGTCGTCTTTTTCTGGCGTTGCAGATCCAGTGTTGGCTGTTGGTTGTCGTGTTAGTTGTGGTTTCGGTGTTTTGGCAGTGGTTGGGTATCTGTTTGTGCGGCGGTGGTGATTGTGTGGTTTGGGTGTGTTTCTTGTTACGTGTGGTGGTGCGTTTCTGTGCAATGGTTGTGCTGTTTTTGGTGCACCGTTGCGGTGTTGCTATGTGATGGTTGGATGTGCGGTTTGTGGCGGGTGTGGTCATGCTACACGCGATGGTGGTGAAGATGTGTCGACGATGGTGGCGCCGCTAGTGGAGGCAGTGGCGAAGTTGTGGTCACAGATGATTTGGTGATGGTCACAAATGATTTGATTGTTTGTGACCAATAATTTGGTCGGTTTGTGACCAATAAACAATTTGTGACCAATGAATTCGATAAATTGTGACCAGTACAAGCTGTGTGACCTAAAAATTACTAATTTGTGAT